TCTAACTCATTCACCAGTTGATGGACATGTAGACTGTTTCCACTATTTGGCTACTATGAATAAGGCTGCGAGGAATCTCATACAAGTCTTTGTGTGGTCGTATGTTTTCATTTCTCTTGGCTAGACACCTGTGAAGTACTAAGTCATAATACATTATTTGTACACTTAAGAAAAACTGCTGAACTGATTTCCAAAGTGGTGGCACCCTTATACATGCTCATTAGAATGTATAAGGGTTCTAGTTTCTTCACATCCTCAGTAAAACTTTTTATTGTTTGTCTGTTTGATTATAATCAATCTAGTGGGTGAAGTAGTATTTCGTTGTGGTTGTAATTTGCATTTTTCTCAGATGTTGATCATCTTTTCATGTACTTATTTGCCATATGTGTATCATCTTTGGTGAAATGTCCATTAATTCAGCTGTGATAGATCACTAGTGCATCATGTAGTTTGATTTCCTTAATCTGATAATTTGGGTAATATAATACTTACTGTCTTGGTAGAAATATCACATTCAGTTACTAATTTGCACCCAGATTTGAGATACTCTTTTGCCTCCAGTCACTTAAAACTGCCAACACTGGGGCACCTGGGTGGCTCAGTTGGTTGGGCATCTGCCTTCAGCTCGGGTCATGATCCCAGGGTCCTGGGATTGAGCCCCACATTGGGCTTCCTGCTCGGTGGCTAGTCTGCTTCTCCCTTTCCTTCGCTCCTCCCTCTGCATATGTGCGCGTGCTCTCTCTTTTCCAAATAAATCTTATTAAAAAACAAACAAAAAAAAACCCAACACTTTCCTTATAGGACTTGCATGACATTTTGTCTGTTGCTGACTTAATTTTAATTTTAATTATGTCAATGATTGCCCTGTAAGTTCTTTCCCAGCTTTAGATTTGAGAAATTTGGCATCTCTCTCACACCAAGTTTTTTTTGGGAAAGATCGATTGACTGTTACAAAGCTAAGTTGTGCATCATTTATGAACTTTGTTTTTATCATTCTCATGGTAAACAGAATTACCACTGAGTGATGTTTAATGTTCTCTAAATGCCATAATTAAAAAAAAAAATCCTTCTGAGCCTGTGTTCTTTTGACCAAATCTAAGTTATTAGAATTTGTATAAAAATTTATCTTGATCTAGGGTTTACTTATTAAGATCAAACTTTTAAATTGAGCAACCATCACTATATTATCTAAAAATAAGATATTAAAAATCATATGGTAGAACCCATACTGGACAGGAATTAGGAGATTTGACTCTTACTACATGACTTTTGGAAAATTTATATTTTAAATGGTTCTTTTTTCATAAAATAAGGAAGTTAGGGGAAAAGAACACAGGCTTTAGAATCTAACAGAAATGGCTTCTAATTCTCAACCTGCCATTAATACAGAGTGACCTTGCCAAGTCACATATACAAACCCCTGTTCCTTATCTGTAAGTTAGGAGTAATAGTATTTATCTCATAAAACTGTTATGAATACTAATGAAATAATGCATAAAAAGTCCTTAGACCAGTGCTGGGCACTGAGTAAATAATGTTAACTGTTATTATGTTAGGTGATCTTTTATGTGCCCACAAACTTGCAGAAAAGATTTTGCATTATATGATTTCTTAACTTTAGTAACTTGGGTTTTATTGTTGGTATTTAGTGAACAATCACTTTTAGTATGTTTCCACTATAATGGCTTAAGAGAGTCTATCTTTTTGAATATTATTTTCTCTGGAAAGTATTCTAGCTCTTGAAAATACCCATTGTGTATCATCTTTTCTGGGCCTTGCATGATTTATAAAATGCAAATGGAGTAATTTAGTAGGACTCTAAATTTTCCTCCTTTAATTCTTGTAATTTTTCTTTTTCATCCCCCCTCAACCTAACAATGTGAATTTTTATATCATAATATTCTGGAATTTTTATATCATATGGCAGTAGAATTTAGTACTTGGCAGCTTATGAAGAAGACACTTTGAAACAGGAATGTCAAAATGTCACTCAAAATAACCGGCTTAGGCAGTCCTTTTCTTAACCTGTGTAACCCCCTGTGCTCAGTTTCATAGTTCACAGACTGGATTTCTGTGAGACAGTATAAGATTTAGCTTGACAGTCTGATGTTTATTTAGAAAAGCTGTGAAACATATGGAGGTTAAGGGTTAACATAATGTTAACAGAGTTTTCTAGGTATTTCACTTCTTTTTTTCCTGTGTATTACTCTAGCCAGGTAAATGAGTAAATAGAATATCTAAAACCCATTTTTAAAAAATTGTGATAAAATATGTATGAAATAAATTTTACCATTTTAACTCTTTTTAAGGATATGGTTCTTTTTTTTTTTTTTTTTTTTGTAAAGATTTATTTATTTGAGAGAGAATGAGCAAGAAGGGAAGAGTGAGTGAGAATCTCAAGCAGACTCCATGCTTAACTGGAGCCCGACATGGGGCTCTATCTCAGGATCATAAGATCATGACCTGAGCTGAAACCAAGAGTCAAATGATTGACTGACTCCACCATTTAGGGCCCCCAAGTATATGGTTCTTGATATCAAATACATTCATATTGTAGCATATTTATCTCCAGACTTTTTCAGTCTTTTCCAACTACAACTCTATACCTATTAAATACTAACACCCCATCCCCTTCTTGCCTCACCCTAGCTTCTGGCAACCACCATTCTATTTTCTGTTTCTGTGAGTTTGACTACGCTAGCAACCTCAGGTAATTGGAATCATATAATGTTTGTCTTTTTGTAAGTGGCTTTTTTCACTTAGCATATTTTTAAGATTCACCTATGTTTTAACATGTGTCAAAATTTGGCTAAATAATATTCCATTGTGTGTATATGTCACATTTGGTCTATTCATTCATCCATCCATGGACACATGGGTTGCTCCTGTGGCTACTGTGAATTATGATGCTATGAACATGGGTGTACAAATATTAGTTCTATTCTTGCTTTTACTACTTTTGTGTATGTACCCAAGAATGGAATTTTTGGCTCGAATGGTAATTCTATAGTTAATATTTTGAGGAATCATTATCCTGTTTTATATAGTGGCTGTGCCATTTTACATTCCCATCAGCAATGCACATTCGTTCCAATTTCTATACACCCTTGCCAAAACTTGTTATTTTCTGTGGTTTTATTTGTTTGTTCGTTTTGGATAATAGCCATCCTAAATAGTCATGGGTGTTAAGTGGCATATCATTGTGGTTTTGATTTGCATTTTCTTAATGACCAGTGTTGTTAAGCATCTTTTCATGTGCTTAATGGCAGTTTGTATATCTTTGGGGGAAATGTCTATTCAAGTCCTTTGTCAATGTTTGATGAAGGACTTTTGAGGTCACCTTGTCAGGGAAGTTTTTAATACATGACAGTGAACTAGCTAGGGTGATGCTAAATGGGATTAAAACTTGTGGAAGAGAAAAACCACAAGTCAGATGCAAACATTGTCATGTTCCTCACTGCCTCAATTGCACTTAATCACTTTTAAGTCATGGTTTTTATTTGTTAATTTTTGTAAATAAAAGAGAAAAATGTACTGTATTAGTAATTTAGGGGAAAAGGAAACTAAAGGAGGTAACAACAGAAATAAACTAGAAAATGGTGGAATAAATAACTAGAGGAGCTAGTTTTTATTAAAAAGTTAGGAAATAAAGAACTTGAACACTATACAAAGATAAAGAACAGAACTAGACTTAGAATCTGAAAACATGGACAATATAAAAAATAGGGATTTTTGAAAACTGGAATCCATGCTCAGAAAAAAAAAAAAGAATCTACGCTCACATGTATGATAAACCTCAGTTTAATGATGTTATATGGCTGAATGACATTTTATTTTGTATGTGTGTAATCAAATACAGTGCTTTTCTTTTGGTTATTCAGTAATTATTTGTTTTCAGAAAAATCCTAGATGTTTCATTCAATTTAGTTTATAGCACAAAATCCCCAGTGTGTGTATGTAAGCAGATATCATATACACATTTTTGGTATGTGATATCTCCACACCTTGATTTCATTGTAAAGACTTAAGAGAGTGGATGTTTATTTGGCAAAATTTTGTGCAGGAGAATTTCATTAGTGTTTTTCCCTAATTAGGGCTTTCAAGAAAACACTGATTTACCAAAACTCTCAGAGCTGTGTGATTAAGTAGGAAAATGTGAGGATGGACTGAGCTTTTATATTTGCTGAATTCTACCATTGATGTTGAATAGCTATATTCTTTTAAGGCTAAATTTGAATTTAATGATGGATTTGGTTTTCTTCTTTTATTCTTATTTATTTATTTTTAAGATTTATTTTCTTATTTGAGAGAGTGAGTGAGAGAGAGAGAGAACACACAAGCCTGGGGAGAGGCAGTAGGAGAGGGAGAAGCAGACTCCCCACTGAGCAGGGAGCCCCCTGTGGGGCTCCATCCCTGAGATCATGACCTGAGCTGAAGGAAGCCGCTTAACCAACTGAGCCACCCAAGCCCCCCAGTTTTCTTTCAAATTATATGTAAATTACTATAAACTATAAAATGTGGATTTCAGTAATATAATGAATTGTACCCATGAATTGGCAGACTTCATGGATAATATGTTTAAATTTTATTTCCTTTTAAAATTACTCTACACCCAGTATGGGACTCAAACTCAGGACCCTGAGATCAACACTTGTATGCTCCACTGGCGGAGCCAGCAAGACCTCCCCATGGATATTTTTATTTTTTATTTTAAAATTTTTTTAAAAATTATTTATTTATTTTAGAGTAGGGGAAGGTCAGAGGGAGAGGGAGAGAGTTCTAAGCAGACTCCACGCCGAGCAGGGAGCTGACTCAGGGCTCAGTTCCAGGATCCTGAAATAACAATGTGAGTGGAAACCAAGAGTCCAATGCTTAACTGACTGTGCCACCTAGGTGTCCCAGGATAATATTTTTAAAGTGAGGAAGGAGTTTTGTCTGCAAAGATGTAGTAATATGGAAGTATTATTAAAAGGTATTGCTTTCCTTCATTTTTCTAACAGGGTCAGCATATTTCATTAGCACCTATTCAAAAGCTTGAAGAAGCTCTATATGAATACCAACCACTGCAGATCGAGACATGTGGACCGCAAGTTCCTGAGCTTGAGATGTTAGGAAGACTTGGGTAAGTGTCTAGGAACTTCTCTTTGAGGGACTAATGTTTAAGGCTTATCTGTTAGTATTTAAGTTTATTTAAGTTTAAGTTATACTTTAAAAAAAATTCTTAGATTTTGAAGTTTAGAACTTTACTCTTTTGTGAAAAATGAATGCCTAATAGTAAGTGTACACATTTTTTGTATATTTTGTTAGGTCTTTTAAGATTAAGATTGGTTTATATTAGTTCTTTTTAATGATGTTGTTGGCAGCCATATTGAAGTAACTGTTCATTTTCATCTTACTCTATAATTTTTTAAAAATAGGAGCTTAATTTAGTCATTAGTAAGCAGTAAAAATATGAGAATTGACTTTGCCATGAAAAAGAGTAGATTTATTCATTGTCTGCTATTTACAGTATAACTATATTTATGAGAAATGAGCCACAAAATATTTTAGTCAAAGGTATAATGTATGGCTAGCCCAGTGGCTCAAAAGCCATATTATATGCATCTGTTTTGGAAATGAACCTGGGATGGTGACTCTTTTGAGCGATGGAGAAGATCACAGTTCTGTCTCAGGGAAGCAGGTGGGTGTCTATAGTGTACTTGAAAAGTGTAGGCCAGACTTCATTGGGGAACAATTCATGTCTTAGTCTGGTATCTCAAGTTAAAGTTTTGAATGAAAAGATGATCTAGAAACCATTGCTTCTTAGCAAAGTAAAATAGTGTAAAGAATATAATGTGAAAAGAAATAATGGGTACAGTGAAACAAGTCATTAAAAAGTAATTTAAAAAGCACCCTAGCAGCAAAAACAAGATAGGTAAATAATAAAACCTATATACCAAAAAGCCCCCCAAAACCAAAACAACAACAAAAAAAAACTGTATGCATCTTCAATACCAAAATCTTGAACATGACTCTCAGTATTATACATATGCAACCAGAGCCTCCAAGTTCGTGACTATTAAAATGATAGATAATTTACTAATTTGCTATTTAGTAGATCTTATTTTCTTTAGTTCTATATTCTCTTAAGGTCCTGCATCTTCCAAACATGAAGCTAAGGAGATGTGAAACAAAACCTAAAAAACCATTTGAGTCTGAAATAACAGATTTACTGAATAATTTGTAATAAATTTTATAATTTACATATAATATATATGTATATATAATAATATATACATATAATTTACAAATAATAAATATTTGTAATAAATAGATTTACTAAAAAATTTGTAATAATACTAAATAATTTGTTAAGTGCTAAAATTGAAACTCGAGATAGACATTATAGGATTTCATGATGTAAAAAGTTATTAGTGTTAAAGATGTTGGTTTCTTATCTCTTATTGGGTTAACAAGAGCCAGAATTCTAGATCTTTAAAATAAGTTTTCTTAAAATCTTTACTCTTATTTTAGTGAAGACAAAGTATTTAAAATAGTATTCCTTTGTTACAGGGTTTTTCATTTTCTAATAGTTTTGTCATCAAAATTACATTTGAAAGATTATGGAAATGGGCATGCATAATAACAGTGCACAAGTAAAATGTGTGACAACAGTTAGTGCCAAGGATAGAAGAGGAAATAACTTGTAATGTTCTTACAGTGTACATGAAGTGGCATAGTTGTATCTGGAAATAGATTGTAGTAAAAGATGTTTAATGTTAACCCTCTAGCAACTACAAAAAATGTGGAAAAAAAAAAAAGAGGGACGGTCAATTAGTCTGTAGCAGAGAAAAATTATGAAATTATAAAAAATATTAATGAAAAGGAGAACAGGAAGAGAGGGTGACAAAAATAAAAAAATGAAGCAATTAAGAAATAACATGGTAGTAGATTTAGTCTTAACTCTGTAATTACATTGCATAGAAATGTTCTAAATCAGCACTATCCAATACAACTTTCTGAAATGATAGAAATAGTTTAGGTTTATGCTGTCATGTATAGTAGCCCTCACTTTCATGTTTCTGCTGAGCACTTGAATATGTCTAGTGCAACTGAAGAACTGAATTTTATATTTTATTCAGTTTAGTTTAAATAACCATATATGATGAGTGGCTCCCATACTGGATAGCACAGATCTGAATATTCTAAATAATAAGCAGAGATTGCCAGATTATACCAAAAATAAGATTTATTTTATGTTTTCTATAAGGAACTGGCATTATATTTAAAAATATAGTTTCTCTGAACTTTCCAAGTTTCTCTGTACTTGAATCTGTAATTTGTTGTTTTTATTTTGTAAATATCTCAACCATTATTTCTTCATAGTTTTTTTTTCATCAGAGGAATTCTTTTTGATCTTGCTATTTTTATATCTAGCATTTCCATATCATTCCTTTTTATAATTTTCATCTCTTTTCTGAAATTCCCTGTTTATACATGTTCTCTATCTCTTTCCCCCTAGGTCTTTTAGCTTTAAAGTGCCTCTTTGATATCCAACATCTCTTGGTCTGGTTCTGTTGATTAGTTTATGTCATGATGATAGATTTATTTTTCCTGATTTCTTGTACTTATTATAATTATTGTTTGAGTATTGGATATTCTGTGTGACAGAACAGCAGAAACTGGGATTTATACCCTGAAATATTTATGTCCTTTTTTTCTGTTAGGGCATTAGGATAGGGAATTGAGTATTAAGTAGATAGTTTGATTTTAGTTTGGGTTTTGTTGTTGTTCCAGTTATTGCTCATAGGCTCAAGAGGCTCATAACCTCTTCCAGATAGTCTCTTGCCACTTTGTGCCTAGTATGAGGCTTGGAGTGCTGGAGGGATCTTTTCAGTCTTGCTCCAGTCTCAGTTTTCAGCAATAGGCTCTGGCCACCTGAGCCACATAAGCGTTCTCTCTTGGTGCTCCTCCCCAGCAACAGACTGCTTTTTCCTCTTGGAGTTAGTTTTGTGATGGGAACAAGGGGATTTCTTAGTTCTCCTGTTCCAGCTTTTAGCCTTAGGAGGTCTTGCATGCTGGAACCTCAGGGTAGTGCTTTCTTGGTGTATCTGTCTCTTTCCTAGAGGCGAACAACTTTTGTTTCTTATTTTGGAGAGCAGGCAGGTTTGCTTTTCCTCTCCCAGCTCCACAACTGAACTCTCTTAGGTTGGTAAGCATGGGTGGTGTTGGCTGTAAGACAGTTTTCTGTACCCTTCCCGCCCCGCCCACTTTGCATCATTGTTTTAGCACAGGTAAGAATTGGTTTCTTCCCTTTCCTCAGTAGCTGTAAGGCTTTTGTCTGTGTCAGTATAGAGTTGAGGAGGGTGACAGAGGTTTTTGTACTTTTCCCCCAGTGGCAGCCAATCTTTGCCTTTCCCAGCAGTTGAGTCCTGGCTGTTTGTTTGTTTTTAAGTTCATTTCCTCTTGTGTTTAGTGTTCTGTTACTGCCAAATTTTATTGGGTCTTTTCAGTGGTATATCCCCCTTATCTTCCTCTTTTAATCTGCTTTGGTGGTGCTGTTGCTATATATATGTGTGTGTATTTGACTAACTCTTAGAAATTTGTATGAAATAGATGTAGCTTGATTGCTTTTTTCCCAACAATTTTGAGTAAATTGTTAAATTTAATAAACGTTGGCAACTCTTCTGATTGTTTGGACCCCTTTTTGGTTTCCTTTTGCCTTTACCATTATGATTTAGATTTTAAAATGTAGGGTAAGTGTCCTTTAGATAAGATATAACCATAGCATTTGTACTTTTCCCAAGGTTTTTATACATGAAATCTTATTTGAACCTAAATAAAGGAGGCTGGATTGTGTGTGTATGTGTGTGTGTGTGTGTGTGTGTTGGTGGGTGGGGGACTTTCATTAACCATTGAGTATTTAGAATACAGTTAGTTCCAGAATTTTTTTTCTTTTTTTAAGATTTTATTTATTTATTTGAGAGAGAGAACACATGTGCATGTGCACTGGGGTTGGTAGGGGGCTCCCTGGCAGAGGGAGAAGGAGAGGCAGACTCCCCACCAAGTGGCAGGACTCCATCCCAGGACGTGGAGATCAGGACCTGAGCCAAAGACATACTTAACTGACTGAGCCATGTAGGTGCCCCCAGAATTTCTCGAAGTAGACTTTTGCTTTTCTCAGCAGAAACTATACGTATATTCTGTACCCACAATAGTTACAAGGGCAGATTATTTTGATTTCAAATAAACATGTATGTTTAAGTTAATAAACCTTGATGGTAATCGTTTCTTTTAGCCATTGGTGGCTAAGTAGTGCAGGAATTTCTAGATCATCAACACTGATATTAGAATTGCTAAAGAAACAGTGACTTTTTCCTGATTTAGAACTATTTATCTTACGAGATAGAATTCATCCCACATCTCTTTAGCCTTCTACCTTGAGAAAGGAATTGTATTCGATACAGACAGCTTTAGTGTTTGGAGCTTGGATCAGCTCAAGCAGTCTTTTTGGTGATGTTCTGACCTCATACTGAAACACCTGCTAAAATAAATTCTAAATTGATTTCTTATACTATTAGTTCATTTTCTCTTCTGGAATTATTATTTGAAGCTATATGCTATCTTATTTTTTCTTATTAAACTTTATAAATCTAAGGATATATCTTTACCTAATACAACTTTCAGAAACATTTAGAGAGAAACTGAAGAATTTGTTCTGTGAAGTGACTTTTTAAAGAATGATTTATATCCTCAAAGGTGTTGCTTTTAGGGTAGAAGGAATATAAATTTAAATTGACTAAAGTAATAATAATTACACATCTGTCCTGAAAGTTGTCCATGTCTTGCATTTAAATAAGCCCCATTTATCCCTTTATGGCGAGATCTCCCACTTCCCCCAGTCCTCTAGTTTCTCTTCCTCTCTCTTTTCCTATTACAACAAAATTTCCATTTTATATTATCCTACAGAGGGAACAAGATCAATTTTTCAATAGAGGCAAACAGAATAAATTATTTATTTCTATTTTCTTATATCTGCTTTGAAATCTGTGTGACTTGGTGAAGTTAAGAAGGGTACACTTTGCACTTTCACTTTAGCTAGTGCAAAAGTGTGGGTGCAAGCACTTTCAGAATAATTTTAAT